CTAATTTTACGAATACTGTTTGATTTTTATGTCTAAATCACGGAAATCAACTTGGCCGACAAAAATAATGGCAAATTGGGGGAGTCCGATACCCCCAAAATGTCGATCTGACGTGGTTATGTTTCTCGATACATGAAAATCTAATTTCACGAATAATGTTTGATTTTTATTTCTAAATCACGGAAATCAACTTGGCCGACAAAAATAATGGCAAATTGGGGGAGTCCGATACCCCTAAAATGTTTGCGAGTCGCCTGCGCGCATACGTGCCATTTCCGAGAAAAGTCGTAGAGGAAAAGTTGTAGGACTTGATGTAAGCAAGCCACTCACAAAGTATGGGGTTTACATGTATAACTGAAAAAAAAGGTCCTTGGATGGTTGACTAAAATACTTAAATCTAGTGTTTATCTTTTTTTTTCCGTTCTTGATTACATTCCACGTCAATTTGAAAATTAAAACAATACAGATTAAAATTAAAATACAAAAATAACTTGAAAGAAAAAAATTAGAAATTTAGATAAAACAAATTAGATAAAACAATCACAACTATACAGATGTGGCTCCAACAATAGGTACATCACAGCAGGAAAACCAATACAAACAGCAAAACTTTGAGCACAAGACGAAAATTGTACTTAAATTTAAAAGCTGCACAATTCAAGCTGGAGAGCTGTCTTGATAAAATTCCTCTAGGCTATAGTATGCCTTACCAGCAAGGAGGTCCACCACGGTCTTTCGAAATGGTTTATATGGCAAAGATCTACAGGTCACATTAAGATGGTTGTAAATCTTAATACTCTCGTACATTATAGAGCGCTTAGTTAAGGTAGACCTTGGGATTGGAAGACGAATATTAGAACTCTGCCTGGTATTATAAGCATTCTGTCTATTATCCCAAGTGACACCACCTGAGTACTTCCGGTGTATTAAACAAACCGTTTCTAAAATAAACAAACATATCACAGTTAAAACCTTGAATTTAACAAATAATGGTCTGCAGTGATCCCTGGTATTCGCTCTGCACATATATCTAAGTGCTCTCTTTTGAATAACAAATATAGAGTTCAGAAGTTGCAGACTACAAAAGCCCCAAAACACAATGCCGTATCTTAGACGAGACTCGAGCAAAGAATGGTATACCATCTTCGCCGCTGAAGAACCAAGCTCCACAGATACCACCCTGATCGCGAAGCAACTTGATGCCAATCTCTTGCCAAGCTCAGTAATATGTTTCTCAAACTTCAGCTTCGTATCAATATAAAGACCAAGAAACTTGGCATCCGTTCTGCTTTCTATGGGTTGATCATCCATGGTAAGATCGTTAAGAGCAAAACCAAACGTCAAAATATTAGTTTTACTTATATTGAAACACAAAAAATTTGAGTCACACCAAGTCTTCATTTTTTTTAAGTCACTATCAACAGCATTTCTCAAATGTTCCTGATCTTTCGAGTGCCATATGGAGGCACCATTATATTAGCACATGATAGTTTATAAGAAAGGTATAATGTAGATAAAATATTGATAAACATGGAATTATTCTTCAGGAAAATAAATTTGAATTCAGTATAGTTCATGTTAAGGAACTTGATGTTTGGACTGCTTGTGTGTATAGGCCTCCATCAGGTAATCCCCTAGAGTTTTTGAGGTCATTGGAAACTCTCCTTTCGAAATTTCCGATAACTGCAAAAATTATATTAGCAGGCGATCTAAATATTGACTTTGATAGTAAAGACTCCAGAGATACGAAATCTTTAATAAACTTATTAACATGTTTTAATCTTCACACTTTTGTGAATGAACCCACACGTATTACTAACCACTCAGAGACAACAATCAATTATATCTGCAGTAACATCGACGAGGGTGATATTATTTGTAGAGTAACTTCATCAGGTCTTTCTGATCATGAGGCTCTTTTTTCAGAAGTGGTGCTATACCATGACGAGCGGGAAAAGGTGACAAGGAAGTCTCGAATCTTTAGTACAGCAAATTATAGGACTTTTCGAAACGCGGCCGAAACAATTAACTGGGACAACATTAAAAATTCGGCAAATCTAATTACAACATTTCGAAAAACAGTTCAAAATATTTTTAGCCAAAGTTTTCCAAAGCGAAAAATTTAAAAAAAGAAAAGAAAGGTGTGGGTGACAAGAGGTATTGAAGTATCAGGTAAAAATGATGATGATGGTGAGAAAGCTGCGGCAGTGTTTTGTGATTTTTCAAAAGCTTTTGACCGTGTTAATCACGAAATACTGCTGCGGAAAATGAGCCACTACAGAGACAGGGGAACAGAGTTGAGCTGGTTTAGAGCATACCTTTCCGATAGATCCTAAATAAGGAGAATTCATGGTAAGGATAATTCGAAGATGGTAAATTTAACCCATGGAGTTCCTCAAGGGTCAGTTCTTGGGCCGGTTCTCTTTTTAATTTACATTAACGACCTGGCAGCACTGTCAATTCTGGGAGCTTTTGTAATTTTCGCAGACGATACAACCATACTTTGGCGACACAAAGACATGACAATTCTTAACTCAATCATTGAAAAATATACAGATGCTGGTAGAAGATAGAGCTGTTGTAAAATTTCTTGGTATGCACATATATTGAGATTCGAGACTTAAATCTGACACTCATATTGGTACCCTTAATAAAAAAACTCTCACAGGGCTGTTATATAGTGAAAAGCATCCTTCATGAACTAGGAAAACACACAGCCAAAATAGCGTATCATGCACTTATAGTCTCACATCAGATATGGCATAGCATTCTGGGGGTTTTCGACACAGGCGGCTGTTGAATCAGTGTTTATTTGTCAGAAACGAGCTCTGCGTTATCTGTGTAGGGTAAATCGTCGGGAAAGCTGTAGGCCTCTTTTCAAGCAGGAGCAGATAATGACTGTTCCCTGTATTTTCATCTTGGAGGTGGCAAGTTTAATGTTCAAAAATTTTCGAGACTATTCTAGACCAGAACTTTACAACTTGAGAAACTACAATTTGCTATTTCCAATCCCAAAGCTAAGCCTAACCAAGCACTCAATTATATATGAAGGTTTAAAAATATTCAATAATCTTCCTCAGGAAACAAAAATCATTAGAGAGTACAGAGCATTTCGTACTAGTGTGAAAAATTTCCTTATAGCAGAAACATTTTACAGCCTTCAAGAATATTACGGCCAAATTTAGTGTAATTGTTTACTGCGTGTGTTTAATTGTGGGTACTTTTAAAAAACTTAATTGTTTTTGGTTATTTTGTTTGTCGATTTTATTCTATTTTATTTATTTTTTAAAACATTTTTTAGTATTTTATCACCCATTCAGTCTGCTGCTTTCAGCTTTGACCTTTTTAACCTTTTTAACTTTTTAAACTTTTTATCTATTTTATTGCAATAGTTACTAAGCCCTTATGTTTTTTTTTGTGATTTATTTGTTTTTATATTAATATTGTCATTACCTAGGGGGTTACTGATTCTGCATATGTTGTTCTACTGATAATAACTAGCTTTATAGTAGATATACTTTTTTATGTAAGTAGGTACTTTATAACTGTTTGTTTCTTCTTTTGTGTTTCAAGATTTTCGTCTCTTTACATATTAAATCGTGACATATAAAAATGTTTTGTGTGTTTAATTTAGGTCTTTTAAACTTAAGTAGGTAGCAGACATATGTTTATATTTAGTTATTATATTATAAGATTGCTTTGTCAATGAATTTTTATAATTTACCGACAATAAAGCTTTTTTTGAATTGAATTTGAATTTGACTGGGCTACGTCATCCATATAAATTGAAATGACGTCACTGAGACCTGGTATTTGCAATAATCTCGCATTTTTATAAAATTCTTCTAGGAAGTTCTAGGAAATATCCTCGAAAGTTCTCGGAAATATTCTTTTGAGAGCTTTTGATCGAAAGTTTCCAGGAATATTCTCAATCAGGAGAACATTTCCATTTTTTATCAGCAAATATTCTTGGAAATTTCACAATGTTTGCCAATATTCGCATGGGAATATTATCGACTCACATCACTACATACTTACCGACTTACTTAAAAACCTAATTATTATTATATTGAATTCAAAATGATTGGTGCATTTGCAATCATGAAAGTGAGTACATTATTCTTGTTCAGACAGGATGTTTCCTGTTTAGCATTGATTTAGATGCAATATTTGTATGCCCAGTTTAAAAAGGTGAAATTCTCAAATTGTCCAATTAACAAAAGTGCAGGTCTATTGACTATCTGAACTATCAAAGCTATACACTGCACTAAGTAGTTAACTCAGTAAGCAAGAAGGTCATAAAATGGGCTAACAACTCACATTACGTCTGTTCTCACTAAAATCACAAACCAGTCAGAGCGTTTTTGATTGGTGCATATTGCCAACAACCAGTTCTCAACCAATGAAATTCGCTCTGACAGGCATGTGATTTCTGTGAGAACAAACCTACCCCTGCCACAGAGACCAAGCCCTTGTTTTAACAACCTTTGGCTTCGTGTCAAAGGACAAAGTGGCTAGGTAGTGAAATGAATACTTCAGGTAATGATGCCCATACATATTAAATGGATTTGAATAAACATAGCTCCATATATTTTTCTAGAATAAATGGAGGTGACCAAAATTAGAGTAGGTAGGGCACTAAAGAAATAAATACCCCTAATAATTTGCATCCCAAGAAAATGTTATTGTTGGTTAATGTGTTCAAAAGGTGGCTCATGGTTAAAGTCCAGTATAGAAATTGAGACTTAAGCGCATGGACAACATACATATTAATTCGGGCTGTCCGATATTTGAGCCTTTATTGCTACATAATCCAAAAACAAAATAGAACAGAAAACAGCAGAGGTATAGCAAACAACTATTGATATCAACACAATGTAATGATAAGAGGAAAATAAATTATGTACATATTAAATGTAGCTGCCTAACCTCAAATCGGAATGAAAGTAATAAAAATATTCATGGAAATGTTACCAATAGTGAATTTTTCTTAGTCTTACCTTTCCCACGTATCCTCACAAGCGAAAAATCAGAATTGTATGCTGAATTTCCTGCAAAAAAATCACATTTGCAAGAAAAACAGGCGGCAAAACGGCGGCCTTGTTCTATTAATAAGCAACGGCTCTTTGGCCTTGCAACACGGTTTTCTTGGCTCCGGCCGTTCCAACGTGATAAGTTCGCGTAAAAAACTCGAAATTTTCTTTAATTTCACTAGAAAATTTAATTTTGACGATAAATTCAGGCGAAACTACAACACCCAACCTTTCTCCAATTTTCCACAAATAGAAATGATGATTCCAAGAGCAAGATGGCTGACGGTATTGAAGACTTCTTACTTATGATTGGTCCATTTTGAAATTTAACGTTCAATTATGAAGTAAGCGACAATTGATGTTTGACAGAAAGCGACATTTTCAAATACGCAGATGTCAGATGAGCTAGTGAAGATTAGGCCTTACCGATGCAACATTGCATTTTATTGCATCACATTTCATTTAAGGCCGTTTTACAGCTTGCAAGAAATCTTGAATGCAATTTTTTTGCATGCAAAAAATTGCATCCAAGTTTCCTTGCACGTCGTTTTACACCTTGCAATTTGACTTGTTTCTTTCTCCAACCTTAACCATACTTTTTTGTTTCTAATGTTGCGTTGTTGATGTTTGCATTTTAAAAAAATTAAAAAAGTGATTATAAGTCGATATAAAAAGAAGAAAGCAATAGCAGCAACTTTAAGCATCACAAATGCTAACAATTCCCCAGCTTGCACGAAAACCTTCAAGAAAAATGAACCAAACCGATTGCATGCAATGCCATTCAAGTTTCAAGAATCTTGCAGAAACCAATCAGCTGACTCACTTCTGCGCATGCCCTCGTTCAAGTTTCTTGCATATTGCAAATAGAATTGCAAGCTGTAAAACGGCCTTTATTTATTGCTTAAGGTCTATTTATCCTTAGTTGTATTCCTTTCAAGAGCTTGAAACACTCGAGCTACTCGCTTCGGTGCTTAGTAGCCCCTGATTGGCAGGGAACATATGCGTGGTGCAACAAACACTTTTCGAAAGGAATAAGCGCGTGAAGCCCCGGAGCTGTTCTGGAGCTTCTCCTAGATGTGAAAGGAATACAACTATTAACGCTAACCGGTTCAGACAAATCGTACGCACCAAGGTCTATTCAGCATGAGTCTCTGGCAGTTTTCAAACTGACAAAAAGGATCGCTTATAAAAAATACCTACATTTGTACTGCGTTTCTTGCTTCAAGCTGATTTCAGCAGATTGGCATTGTCCCACGTTGTGTTGTATTCCTTTCAAGAGCTTGAAACACTACAGCTACTCACCCCGGTGTTAGTCGACCCCGATTTGAAAGGAACATATGCGCTGACTTTCATGCATTTAAATGGTTTCAGTCGGGCTTGAGCACTCAGGTGCATTAGGTGCAACAAACACTTTTCGAAAGGAATAAGCGCGTAACGCCCCAGAGCTGTTCCGGAGCTCCTCCTAGGTGTGAAAGGAATACAACTAAAGCATGTTTTTTTTTTAAAGATAATTGACCTTTTCAATTTAGAAGCCTCTCTCTCTGGCGTCAGACTGTCAGATGCCAAAAGAGTATGAAAAGTATGAAAACAATGATTGACAGCTATTGACAATGGTTTGTTGATAAGAGTTTTATACGTGTGAGACTGGAAACTATTATTTCCTCGGTTTTTTCAAAGTTTTTTCCTAACAATGGTGATTGTGTGTAGTGTGCCTTTTCGTGAAAATAATTCCTATTCACCGGCGGACGTGTCTTTCCATAAGTTTTCATCAAATCCTACATTTGTCAAAATTTGGATACACAAAATCAGAACTGATACTCGCAAAAGTAAGGGAAATCCACGATCCATCAAGTATACAAAGATATCCACGTTCAAGTTTAGTTTGCGGAAGCTGTTTGCTTCCTACATTTTCTTTACAATTTCAAATTTCACCATTCTATGTCGGTCATTGTCATTCTCCATTCACTGAACAAAGATACCTAACTCATCGGTGGAGTCACCGATTAGAATAAAAACCAGGGGATTGCTAAACACCCTTTACACTTGACATTGACGAGCAAGCAAATGTTGGCGGGAATCTGAATGTTTTCATACTTTATCGTCCATCACTTTTAATTGAAAACGTCAATTCCCCAAGTCAAAAATTTAGTAACTATGTTGGCAACACAAGCCTTTTCTACATAAAAAATTTGAAAGCATTGACAATTTTACATTGTATTGCCAACATAATGTCAGTTTGACTTTTATCTTTAAAAAAAAAACAGATTTTATTATAAGCTCATAAATAGCAGCTCCTATCAGAGCTTTCTAATTTTCGAATTTCGAGCAGGTAGAGCAAGTAAAAATTAATAGCCTATATTACATGTTTTCAATGCTGTGGTTCCAAGATAAGTCGGTAACTTGGTCGGTTTCTCACTTCGGGTTGGTTTTTAACTCGGGGTAAACGTGTCCAGTTGTAATGTCTACCCTGGGGCGCGTTCAGATTGAAGAGTCTGGGCGACGTCCAGTGCAGAGCGTACCCGATAGAGAGTGCACTCCGAGTGTGCCTGGCGATTCGCCCAATCTGAACGGCCAAGACGCATTCTCTCCTCATAACATCACTATTTATGGGATGCTTTGATTTTGATTTTGTTGCCTTTTCAAAATTCACTGTGTGTTCGTGATTCTAACATTTTTGTAAAATAAGAAAAAAGAAAATTCAAAGATAATCAACTCTTATTTTATTTTATTTTGATTTTTTTTGGTAGAACTATCACGTATTAAATAATACCTCTTAACCCTTAATTCTTATTTTAATTTATTTCCTATTTTATTTTATTTGTTGGATAAACTCGCCATAACTCCCAACAACAATCAGGCCTATGATGTATCCTCTCCTGTTATTTTAACAGCTATGTTATAGCTCAACATCTATACTTCTCTCTATTTTGACGTATAGAATAAACAGTGACAGACAACTTAACGTTGCTGTTAAAATAACAGAAAATGATATATCATAAGCGTGAATATTTACAATATTTGCCTGAACATAAACATAACACAAACGCGCATGCGGGGCAAATTTTATCTTACTATTTTATGGGATGCAAAAGTGTGCGTCTGGGTGTCATCAGGTAAAAGTCTACTGACAATCTGAACGGCTGGGTAAATTTTACCCAAGGCAATCTGAACGGTCAGAGCGCGCTCGGGCGACAACCGACGTTCAATCTGAACGCAGCCCCGGTGCGTTCAAAGACGGCAATGCTTATGCCAAAACCTACTATTCCCCTTCTACCGGCGATGCGAAATCTGGCCGGGGATTCTAAAATCACGATTCGACATACGACTCGACAACGAGACGATTTTTCCGACGATTCTAGGTTAGAAATCTCATTGGAATTATACCTTTCGAGACGACAAGGCCGGTATCGTTGCCGAGTCGTTTGTCGAATCGTGATTTTAGAATCTCGGCCCTGGTTTGAATTCGCTGGAACGCCAAATACCGTTTCTCAATAAGCAATCCAAACCACGTGACATTCAATATGGCGTGGCGACCATACATGGACCAAAAAACACAAAAAATATCTAGTTTCTGCCCGACTTAATAGTTTACGTAATTAGTTAACAAATATTTTATTGAATAATCAAAATCGAAGCTGCAAACAAACAAAATAATTGAAATATGCATGAAAACACATAATCAAAACTAACTTGCTGGTCGCCACGCCATATTGAATTTGGTCTAATCCAATCAAAATTCGTATAACCATTTCTAGACTCAGTTGAAAGAGCCTCCAAAAGTTACTTTACCGCGGCCGATTTGGAACGTGTAAAGCCAACCGTTTTTGGCACGCTGGAGCCGAACTTGAACGCAATATGCCAATTTTGGCTCGGCTGTAGCCGTTTTTGAACGCAGCCCAGTTATGCTTTAACCCGGAGGTGACTTAATTGATGAGAAACCGGCCCTTATTTGAGCATTGTTTCTGACGGTTTGCAAACTGAGAGATTCTTGTGAGAACAGACCTAAGCTGTTTTCTCGCGGTGAAACTGGTTCGATTAGGTTCGAACCTGTACATTCTTGCATTGAACCAGTGACGTCGCATTGAAACTGGTTCAAAAAAGTTTGAGCCGGACCAAAGCCGCCCGACTCATGGCTTGTTCTTCGTTGACATAGGACTGATGTCCAAACTTCCCCAAACCATCCATTTTCTCGCGTTCACTAGTTATGACGTCGTCTACAAATTAGTTTAAACCGTAGTTCGAACCATTCGCCCCGCGAGAAAACACCTCCTATGTAATACTCGCCTGTTAAGTATTTAATTACTTCATTAGTTGTATTCCTTTCAAAAGTTTAGAACGCTGAAGCCTGAAGCTACTCGCTCCGGTGTAGACGTCCCCAATTTGAAAAAAAACAGATGCGCTGGCTTTCGTGCATTTAATAGTTGTTGACTTTCAAGAGTTTAGAACACTAGACCTACTCGCTCCGTTGTTAGTCGACCCCGATTTGAAAGAAACAGAGCGCTGGCTTTCGTGCATTATTATGTTTGAGTTCGGGCACTTCAGGTAAAGCTTAATAATAGTTTCCAGTCTCACAGGTATAAAACTCTTGTCAACAAACAATTGTCAATAGCTGTCAATCATTGTTTTCATACTCTTTTGGTATCTGACAGTCTGACGCCAGAGAGAGAGGCTTCTAAAGTGAAAAGGTCAATTGACCTTTTCAATTTAAAAGCCTCTCTCTCTGGCATCAAACTGTCAGACGCCAAAAGAGTATGAAAACAATTGTTGGCAGCCGTTGACAGTGGTTCGTAGACAAGACTTTTGCAAGAAAATATTATTTCCCCGATTTTTTCAAGGTTTTTTTTGTGTGTGTAATGTGCCTTTTCATAAAAATAATTCCTATTCACCGGCGGACGTGTCTTTCCATAAGTTTCCATCAATTCCTACATTTGTCAAAATTTGGATACACAAAATCAGAAAGGATACTCGCAAAAGAAAGGGAAATCCACGGCCCATCAAATATACAAAATAATCCACGTTCAAGTTTAGTTTGCGGAAGCTGTTTGCTTTCAAAATAATCCACCACCGTCTCCATGTCTAAGCTCCGCGAATGAAGCAGTGACTTTTCCCACATTTTCTTTCCAATTTCAAACCCTGCGATGGATCCACCATTCTATGTCGGTCATTCTCATTTTCCATTCACTGAACAAAGATAGCTAACTCCTCGGTGAAGTCACCGATTCGAATAAAAACGTGGGGATTGCTAAACACTCAATACACATTGACATTGACAAGCAAGCAAATGTTGGCGGGAAAATGAATGTTTTCATACTTATTGTCCATCTCTTTTAATTGAAAACGTCAATTCTCAC